CGTACCAGAAGGACTGTACCAGTTTGCATTCCTTTTTTTTTTTTGGCCGTACCACACAGCTTTCAGGATCTTAGTTCCCTGACCAGGGATGAAACCTGGGCCCCCTGCAGTGGAAGTGCAGAGTCCTAACCACTGGACTGCCAGGGAATTCCCTCAGTTTGCATTCTTACTAACAGTGTATGGTGTCTCTTTCCCCGTTGCCGCTCCAGTAAAATGTGTTGACATATTTTTACATTTTTACTGGTTTAGTATATGAGAAGTGGTATCTCGGTGTAGTTTTAAATTGCATTTTAGAGTGGAGTTCAACAAGTCTTTTCATATGTTTATGGCTATTTATTGTAAATGGGGTTTTGTTTACCATTATATCCTCCAAAACTGGGTATTATGTAGGTATATAAAGTCTATTGATTTCTGTGTGTTAATTTTATATTCCACAACTTCCTGAATCTTTTATTATTTGGGTTAGTTTTATAATTGATTCTCTGGAGTTTCCCTAACATACTATCATATTATCTGCAAAGAAAATTTCCAATTCTTACGCCTATAACTGATTTCTCTTGTCTGATTTTGTTGTCTGCTATCACCCTTCCTACTCATTGTGAAATAGTGGAAGCAGTGGCCATCTCTGCCTTGTTCCTTATCTTACTGGAAAACTTCTCGTTCTTCTCCATTAAGTTAGAGGCTGGTTTTCGGACTCAGTTATATTTATTTACTCAATTAACAAATTATCAAAGTACAAAATTACTTTATATCTCAATAAACCTGATGTTAAAAACAAAAATCTATGTCTGCTACTTCTGGGTTTGGAGAATGGTGGCTACCTAATTTTGAATCTCCCCATGTCCCTTTCGCCCGCTCCCCAAACATTTAAAACAACAGGGAGAGTAAATAGAACCACACTTGATCCTACGTTCAGCAATACTAGGAGACAGAGAATATCATGGCCTTCAAGTTACCTGTAAGTTGTGAAATAAACTTACTTCCATTAAAGATCCTGCTGCTACTAGCCAGCAGGTGCTGAGAACAGAAATGGGGGAGGCTTAAAAGACTCCATGAAAAAAAATAAAGTGGTTCAGAGGACTTAGGCAAAGCACAAACAGAGTAATCCCCTTACCTGCAGAACGAGAAACTCCAACACTAAGTGCAAAATGCTGAACACAGGTTTGGATGTACTAGAACATAGTACTAGCTCTTGGAAGAGTGTGGGACTGGGAACAGAGAATGCCTCAGAGAAGCATTGCTTCTGGAAGAGAATCAGATATGTAGAGGTGTGTGTAGTTTCCCTTGGAGATAGTCTACTGAGGGGAATGAAGAAGGTAAGACGGAAAAGTTAAGGATGCTGCAGAAACAAAAGAATATACACATCAACTCCTTCCAACGGCACTATCTGAAAAGAGACTGCACAGAAAAGGGGGACTGTCAGAAGCGGGCACTCTCAAACTAGGAGCTCTGTCCAAAAACTGATTAGGATTATTAAAAAGCAGATCACATCCATATAAAACTGTAAAAAGCTGAAAATGTGATTCAAAGTTGAAATGCTGATGAAAATTCTCACTTAATCAAAAAGTTGACAGAAACTATAACACAGTCCTCCATACCGAATGACATATCCTCTAAAAGTATTTAGGAATAATGAAAAAGCTTGAATCAGAAATTTGAAAACTAAAAACAGAAATGGACGCCCCCCCACCCCGCAAAACAAAGGAAGAAATGAGTGTTGATTGAACCAGAAAAGAAATGGAAGAAAAATGTCCGAATAATAGTAGAGATGAAGACTAAATTACAGCGTGTCCAAGGGATAATAAATTCATGTAAAAATGTTATAAGGGGCATTGAGCTAAAGCAGGGATACAAAAACAGACTTAGAGACTGAAAACGAGCTTAAAAAAAAAAAAGAAGTAAAAAGGGTTAGAGAGGAAATGATTGAATTGGAAGACTAGGAGAAGAGGTCCAGCATAAGACTACCTTGGAGCCTGGAGAAGAAAATCAAAACAACTGACCAGATCTAATATCTAAAATTAGAATCCAAGAAGACATTCCAGAAGTAAAAGGAACCTTAAATCTACATATTGAAAGGGCCTGCTAGATACCAGGGAAAATACCCAGAACAGCCTAAGAAGTATCCTAGTAAAACTATTACACTTTAAAGATGTTTAAAAAAAAAGTCCTCAGGGCCTCTAGGAAAAGACGACTTTGAAAGACATGTAAATTAAACTGGACAGACTTTTCACAAATAACATACAAAGCAAGGTAACAGTGAAGCAACGTTTCTAAGAATCTTAAGGAAGTACAAACCAAGGATTTTATATCTAAGCAGCTGCCTTTCAAGAATCAATCAAGGTTATAGAAAGTTTTTTTTAATTTGTTTTAATAAATTTATTTATTTTTGGCTGCGTCGGGTCTTCGTTGCTGCGAGCAGGCTTTCTCTAGTTGGCGCGAGCTGTGGCTTCTCTTGTTGCGGAGCACGGGCTGTAGGCGCTCAGGCTCAGTAGTTGTGGTGCACGGGCTTAGTTGCTTTGCAGCATGTGGGATCCTCGCGGACCACGGCTCGAACCCGTGTCGCCTACATTGGCAGGCAGATTCTTAACCATTGTGCCACCAGGGAAGTCCTGGACAGTTCTGAATGTCCAAGAACTCAGAGAATACTGTGCCCATGTGCCCTTTCTGGTGAATCTACTTGAGGGAGATTCTAACCAGGTATGACTAAGGAAACTCCAGACGGATGAATGAAGACTTCATACACATATTTGTAGAGCTGCGACCAACGAGGATGAGGCGTTTTGGTGAATCAGTCAGAGTTTGATCAGGGGAGAAGGAACACTAGGAGTAAGGAAAAATAATAAGGATTTGTTAAAGGCACTTGACTTTATGTAATTGTGGGAGCTGGTTAACTAGTCTACATGTATATAGCTGTTGCTTCTGTGTCTGATGCCTCAATTTGAAGTCAGAAGTTCAGGCAGTTGAAAAGGAAAGATGGATAAGAAGTAGGGGAGATCAAGGGTAAACTACAACCTGCACGCATGAACTGGAACCCGTAAGGATGAACTGGAACCTATGTAAGCTTACAATTTAAATAATGAGGTGACCAGAAAAATAAGTTTGTACCCCTCATCGGGAGCTAAAAACTTGCCTGGCCCAGGAGTTGCAAAAGCTGAGGGAGAAGATCTGGCAGGAGCTGGTGCAGCTGCCGGGGCCCAGCTGCTACCCCACAACCACTGACGTGAGCCAGTAGATGAGCTACAGGGTGTGTAAACTGCAGTAGCACCTGGTGCCCTGCACCAATCTTCCAACAAGAGAGGCTATGGCTGCTGCTGCCTTTAACACCTTCCAGTTCTCTCACATAATATCTTGTGGTCCAGGACAACCCAGAGCTAGGCAGGGAGTAGAATACTGGAAAACAATTCCAACTTAGCTAAATCCATAAATCCATCACCCAAGAGTAGAAGAATAATATAAAATCATATATTCTGACAAAATTGGAAAGAATGCAACTAAAGAAAGATGGAAAGAAAAAGGAGAGAGGGGAAACAGAAGACTATTGATTATTGTATAGGTAATAAGTGGTAAAGGATGCCATTTAAAAATGATAGGTCAGATAGTAAAAGGTTATAAAAAATGGGGATTAATACTTTTATAATGTGATTAAAAAGTATTAATAGAAAATAACCACTGGAACAAAAATAGAAAACTTTTAAAATAGAAACAATAAGTTGCTTCCTTTATTGCTTGGTACATGGATATTCCTAATTGTTTTATCTTTGTTGTGAATGCTTTTCACATTAAAACGTTTCTTCCTTTGCCCTGTTTAATGCTTTGGGGCTTGAAATCTACCTTGTCGGGTAGATCCTACCTACCAGGATCACACCCTTATGTTCCTGTCGCTTTCATTTGCCCACATATCTGTGTGCATATCTTTATTTTTAGCTTTTCTGATCCAAATCATTTTAGTAGATGAGTTAAACCCATTCACATTTAATTATAAGTAGTATTATGTATAGTTATTGTGTTATTTTGAGTATTAGGTTTTATTTGCTGTTTCTCAACATGATGTGCTTTTTTGCTATTTTACTTTACTGATTTCTTTTGATATGTAGAAAGTGTTGTATTTCTCTTTTATTGGTTATCTTTGTACTTATAACTTTAAAAAATAATAATAATGAACATTTGTTGAAGTTTTACAGTAAACTAGGTACTCTGCTAAATGTCTTATACAGATTATCTTTTTAAATCCTCAAAACTGACCTATGAGGTAATTCCTATTATTTCCCCATTTTACAAATAAGAAAACTGATGCACAGAGAGATTAAGTAACATGCCCGAGGTAACATGTTACTTGGTAATCAATGCTGAGTTTTTCTCTGAATCCAGCCTAACACTTCATACTTTTTTTTTCAATATTATTTTCTTGATATACTGTATTGATTAGATAGAAGAAATATGTTGTTTTTAGTTTTTAGTTTTCAGCAGGTCTGCTGTCTACAACAAGGTTTGTTCTAAGAACTATACAATAGGAATTTTAAATAAAGACCTTATGGAAACATCTTGCTTATATTCATTATGTTAATCTATAATAGAGTTAGGTCAGAAAAATTTAAGAGGATAATGTGATAATAAATACCAACAAAAATACCAACAAAAAGCAATCATATTCACTGTGAATTTCAAAGCGGCTTAAAACAGGTGGAAAAAAGTTATAAAATTTCAGCGTCTTCTAAGAAAATAGAGAATATTATTTTAAAGCTTTATCTAGATAAAGGACACAGGGTTTTAAACTTAAAATAGCTGCATGGTTTTGATCATATGTGTTTGAATTTAGATTTAAATGTTAATTTTTTATTCATGAGTGTAAACGCAGTTGAAGATACTAATTTAGTTCTATGTTTCCTCTTTTTTAATCTCTGACTGTTTATATTTATTTATGACCCAAAACCTAATATGTGGATGGTGATATTCAAACTTGAACACTTCATAATGTTCAACGTATAACTTTTCCCATTTAGATGGTCTTCTGATTGTTGGTGTTCACTCGGCTAAGTTTCCAAATGAAAAAGTCCTGGATAACATTAAGAGTGCTATTCTTCGATACAACATCACCCACCCTGTGGTTAATGATGCAGATGCCAGCCTTTGGCAAGAACTAGAAGTTTCCTGCTGGCCAACTCTGATCATACTTGGACCCCGTGGAAACATGTTGTTTTCTTTGATTGGAGAAGGACATAGAGAGAAATTATTTTTATATACTTCAATAGCTTTAAAATATTACAAAGACAGGGGACAGATCAGAGATAATAAAATTGGAATCAGACTCTATAAAGATTCTTGGCCACCTTCACCATTGCTGTTTCCTGGCAAAGTCACAGTAGACCATGTCTCTAATAGATTGGTAATAGCAGACACTGGACATCATAGAATTTTGGTCGTCTGGAGCAGTGGACAAATTCAGTACAGCATTGGAGGTAAAGTTTGCTAATTATGTTCTATAATGTATTTTACATTATACATGTAAAAAAACTCGTTCAAGGAAATGTATTAAAATTGAAATTTATAAATAAGAACTAATTGTAGAAGGGCAATAAACACTGACTTTAACTTCATCAGAAATTATTTTGTTAATTGTGTCTGAATTAATCTCTTCTCACTCCCTCAAAAACAAACAAAAGTACCCAAAAAAACTCCATTAAGATCAGAAGGAGGAAATCTTTTGTGTAATTTTCAAGTATATTCATATATCTCATCTTGTTTTTACAAAAAACTGCCACAGTATTGTATCTTAGGAAAGTATTATATACATTTTAGATTTCGGGCATTTTAAATGGAAGTATTTCACTTTCCATCAAAATATAGCCATATATATATATATATATTTGTTTATTTGTTTGTTTGTTTATGGCTGCATTGGGTCTTTGTTGCTGCGTGCGGGCTTTCTCTAGTTGCAGCGAGTGGGGGCTACTGTTCGTTGCGGTGCACAGGCTTCTCATTGTAGTGGCTTCTCTTGTTGCGGAGCACGGACTCTAGGCAAGCGGGCTTCAGTAGTTGGGGCACGCGGGCTGAGTAGTTGTGGCTTGCGGGCTCTAGAGCGCAGGTTCAGTAGTTGTGGCACACGGGCTTAGTTGCTCTCCGGCATGTGGGAGCTTCCCGGACCAGGGCTCGAACCCATGTCCCCTGCATTGGCAGGTGGATTCTTAACCACTGCGCCACCAGGGAAGTCCCTGGCCATATGTTTTTTAAGACCACAACAATATCCTAGGAAGTTGAGTCTTAGATTATGAAATAACCTAGGATTTGTATATTATTATACTTTTCTCTCCTTCCATAAGAACTTAAGCATACTTCTGAATCCATTCCATTTGGTTGTAGTGAAATAAAAGTATCATACAGGCATAGATCATTTTCTTCCATATCTCCTTGGTCTTGATCTAAAAAGGGCTCTTATTGACATCTTATGTAATTAATAAAATCTTTTAAGTGCATTATTAATCCTGCTAACCAGGCTGAACTGACATCTGACAACATAATTTGTCAAAGAGAAAAGTAATTCATCTCTTTGCAATCCTACTTTGGTCACACATGCAGTGTTAGTACATAAAGTAGGGATATCAACATTCCTGATGCAAATAAACTAAAAAATAAACTAATTGTTTCCTAAGTCCTGGGGCTATTCTTAGTATGCCAAGGTATCATTCCCTTAGCCCTTGAATTCATTTGTTTCTTATTTGTTGTTTCTGTTGGAGTATGTGTGTGTTCTATATTGTTTATTTTGCTTGGGCAACTTGGTATTTTGGTTAATAACAGGAAGTTATGACAGTTGTTACTCAAAAAGCATCTGTTATAGCAAATTACATTTAAATGGTTAAAAGTTTTTAATAGATTCTAAAATTTTCTAAATAGTTTAGATGGATATTCTCCTTTGTTAAACAGAGGAACCAGCAGCAAGCTACCTTTGCCAAATATGTTTCTAGGAATATTGTTATCTTGTGATAAATTTATAGTTATTTTACAATTTTTAAAAAAGAATTCCGTGGTCAGATACACTCAGGAAATACTGGTCAGATGTGCTTTAAAAGATTTTTGGTGGTGGTGGTGTCACTGTACTCAGATCTTTTACTCTGCCTAATGTATCTCATGAATATATGAGAGGAGGTTATAGTATACAGTATTTTCCAATCTGAAGTGATCACAGTACTCTCCCTTTTCTTCCCCCAGGGAACTCTCATCACCAACAATAATAAATAGTATTATTAATAATAGTAATAATAGCAAACAAAAATATGCCTGGCATTATTCTAAGCACTTTACCTGTATTAATTTATTTAGTCCTCACAGTGCTGTGAGTTATGATATATTATTAATTCCATTTTACAAAAGAGAAACTGAGACACACAGAACTTGCCCAGATCATCAGCTAGGAAGAGCTAGGGTTTAAACGAAGTCTGTTAACTTGGGATTCATGGGCTATGAAGAAATGCTTGAATGATCCTCATGATTTAGGAACCCCTTGAAATTCCTGTGACATGTTATGGGCATGTGTATTTTTGTAAGGAAAGGGTTCGTAATTTTCATTTGTAATAACTCAAAGGAGTTTATCTTCCAAAATTGTTAAAAATCATCTAGATTGTAAAAGATTTAAGTTACTTTTTAATTCTAGTCTAGATAATAGGTAATTCAGATGCTTTTTGAAGTAATTTCTTCTGCTATCTACTACTAAAGTGTACTAGTAACCATTATCTCGTAAGCCCTGTCATTAGCAAAACTTACTCTTGAGAAAAATAGGTATCTTGGGATACAGTTTAGTTTTTAGGTAGAAGTATCAAGTTATTTATATTAAAATCCCAGCTTTAAATACAAATTTTATTTTTTCGGTGTTAATTTGAGATACCTTTAAGTGGAAAAATTTTGTCTTACAGCTGTCTTGTCTTGTAGGACCCAACCCTGGAAGAAAAGATGGAATGTTTTCAGAGTCAACTTTTAACTCACCACAAGGCGTAGCCATAATGGATAATATCATATATGTGGCAGATACAGAAAACCACCTTATAAGAAAGGTAATTTTCCATTTTAAATAAAGTTTTAATCCTTCAAATCAGAAAAACTTATATTGCTACATAAATATTTGAAGTGAGAGGGTGTTGCTTAAATACTTCAGATCATCCTCATTCAGCTTTTTTCAGAGGTTACTTGCTTTAACTTTATTCTTAGACAAACCCATCAAATCGTTTTTTTAATCCTTTATTTTAAAGTCATGTGCCTAATCACCCAAAAGCTCCTCATTTTGAGGTATTTTCCTAACTACTATTTATAAAGAGATGCTTTGTCCTTTTTCACTTAAATTTTCTCAAACTTAGGGGAAAAAAAACATACCACTCTTGCATCCCTTCAGCTCTTATGCTTTGTCTGGGAATACTTATCTGTCAATTAGTCTTAAAATTTATTTTATCTCATTATAAAAGTAATATATGATCTTGTTTTTAAAAAAATGAATTAATACATAAAGGTAAAAAAGGTCTCCGAATCATCTATTCAGGCTCTCCAGGGGTAACCAACCATTGTTAAAATTTGTGTCTTCAGAAATTTTCTACTCATGTACAAATAATTTTATACTGAAAGGACTGTCTCTAGAGAACCTTCTTTTTTAAACAAATGGAATCATAATGTACGTACATAATTCCTACATTCTTTTTTTAACTTGTTTTTTCCATGTTAGTCATATGACTATGACTTCATAGTCTTACCTAGTTATTTTAAACATTTCTTATTGATGAGTATTCTGACTGTAATCTGTTGGTCTTTAAGTTGTTATTTCTATTTGGAAAATAAGTAAGTTCATCTAACCCATTCTGTCTGAACATATATGTACTACATATTGTACCTAAGTACAGTTAGTTGCTTCCTTTTCTCGCTATTTCTCTCTCTTGATATTTTTGCCCATTTATATTACAAAATTATCAACTAATATATATATAATAGGAAAAAACATATGTAGAACATTTAATAATAACCACTGTAATGTAAATCTCCATGAGGGCATGACATTTGTTTTCTTTTTTTTAACATCTTTATTGGAGTATAATTGCTTTAAATTATCAACTAATATATATATAATAGGAAAAAACATATGTAGAACATTTAATAATAACCACTGTAATGTAAATCTCCATGAGGGCATGACATTTGTTTTCTTTTTTTTAACATCTTTATTGGAGTATAATTGCTTTAAAATGATATGTTAGTTTCAGCTTCACAACAAAATGAATCAGTTATATATATACATATGTTCCCATATCTCTTCCCGCTTGCGTCTCCCTCCCTCCCCCCCTCCCTATCCCACCCCTCCAGGCGGTCACAAAGCACCGAGCTGATCTCCCTGTGCTATGTGGCTGCTTCCCACTAGCTATCTACCTTACTTTTGGTAATGTATATATGTCCATACCTCTCTCTTGCTTTGTCACAGTTTACCCTTCCCCCTCCCCATATCCTCAAGTCCATTCTCTAGTAAGTCTGTGTCTTTATTCCTGTTTCACCCCTAGGTTCTTCATGACATTTTTTTTCCTTAAATTCCATATATATGTGTTAGCATACGGTATTTGTCTCTCTCTTTCTGACTTACTTCACTCTGTATGACAG